TCAAAATTTGATTGTCTAGACACAAACATTTATATATTTACGGGCTATGAAAGACGAAAAAAGCAGAAATATGGAGTTTTAGGGTTTTACGATTAGAAATATTGATGCAAAATGCGTAGAAAATGTTAAATATAAACTGGATTTATTTTCATTATTACATTTATTTAATTTTTTATTGCATTTTTAAAAATCAATATTCATTTAAATTATTAGAAAAATTGAGTTTATTTCAATTAGGATATTTCGACCGATGTACTGACACTACCTGCAAAAGAAATTGATTTTGTTCTTTGTCTTTCGTCAAATATCGATTACAATTTTGTATCAACGCTATAGTCCCTCCCTCAGCAATTTGATTCACATATTTAATACTCCTAATCGTCTCTAAGACAACCAACTTCAGGATCATTTTTTACAGAATTTATTGCCCTACAACATTGGTTCCTAACTGGCGTCCCACTTCTCCTTATCGCAATACCTCCACGGTCCATCGGTCTATGGTGGAGTAAAAAACCTAAATTTGTATCGCATCCCTTCCTTATGTATACATATACAAGAAACCGTTACCCAGCCACTGCAAGTGACGCTACCGAATATTTCTAATCGTAATTTTTTTTATGTTTGATAGTAAGTAAGAGAATGATCCAGGGACCGCAAATAACGACTAGCCCTTGAAATTTCAACTCAAAAAATCACGCTGACAGAGAATTGATACGTGCATAAGGAGTAAACCAAAATATTTCTTATTACTCGGAATACCTTCAGCGGCACTGATTTGTATTTTTTAATTTTTACTTATAAAAATAAAGTTTAATCATTACATTTTGAGTTTTATTTTTTGCTCGGAAAATAAGGGTTACGTTTTAAGTTTTATTTTTTGCTCGGAAAATAATCGTTATTTCTTAAGTTTTATTTTTTGTTCAGAAAATAAAACTTAATTTTTGCGTATGCGTATACGCTTTTTTGCACTTTTTCTTTAGAAATGTGGTTCGCTTTGTTTCTGCGATGGTATCTGCATTTTCATTACCCACTCCACGTGGCATTAAAGGTTCAATGCAGCCGCCCCCTGTCTATTCACGCATGCGCATACGCATACGCAAAAATTAAGTTTTATTTTCTGAGCAAAAAATAAAACTCGAGAAATAACGATTATTTTCCGAGCAAAAAATAAAACTTAAAAAGTAATCATTATTTTCCGAGCAAAAAATAAAACTTAAAACGTAATCATGATTTTCCGAGCAAAAAATAAAACTTAAAACGTAACGATTATTTTCCGAGAAAAAAATAAAACTTAAAACGCAACCATTATTTTACGAGCAAAAAATAAAATTTAAAACGTAACGATTATTTTCCGAGCAAAAAATTAAACTTAAAACGTAATCATTATTTTCCGAGCAAAAAATAAAACTTAAAACGTAACCATGATTTTCCGAGCAAAAAATAAAACTTAAAACGTAACGATTATTTTCCGAGCAAAAAATAAAACTTAAAACGTAACCATGATTTTCCGAGCAAAAAATAAATTTTAAAACGTAACGATTATTTTCCGAGCAAAAAATTAAACTTAAAACGTAACGATTATTTTCCGAGCAAAAAGAAAAACTCAATAAATAATCGTTATGTTTTGAGCAAAAAATAAAACTCAGTTAATAACGATTAAAGAGATTTTTATAATAAAAGTTATAACCGTGCGGGCCCTGGAATAATCTAATAAAGTACGATTCACCAGAGCCCCGAAACTACAAATTTATTATAACGAACCCTGGATACGGCGAGTATACCCCAGCATTGTAGAAGAGGAATTTATTTTCCCTAGTGTGCAAGAAAAATATCTGGTTAGGACAGATGCATGTAGGGTTTATCGTGATTCCCTGCCACAAGGCTTAGCATCACGGTGCCCGCACTTAGCACAACGGATTAATTTTTGCCTTAATCACTGCCCTGAAATGCAAGCACTTCAGTTCCAATCGGCAGTGTGTGGTGGACACACTTACCACCTTGGTAAAGCCGAAACCTACCTAGAATCTCTGCCGTTCTTTGGGTCCCGGCCAATAGCTCCTTTTGCAATAGCTCCAAGGGGCCAAGAGTATGCGATTGATTTTGTATATCTCCATACCGATTTCCAGAACTCTACCATGAACACTTCCAAAGACATGCAGTATGAATAAATTCTGTTTGTATGGGAGGTGCTACGCCCCCCTTAAATTTGTTTAGCCTAAACCCATCCCTGGGACACGTGCGGCAGGTGTCTGAAACAGAGACCCAAAATAATGATTATCCTAATATGTGAGATCAAAAACGTCTTTTTTCGTCTTTGTATAATAATTATTTAGGAGAAATATCTTTTCAGATGGAAATTATTTACGTCTCTAAATAATAATTATATGGGATTTTTGTTTTTCTCATCTCTCGGGACTTTTATTTCAAGACGAATGTTATTTACGTCTTCTCATAATAATTATGTGGTACTTTTATTTTTTTTTTCATCTGGTGGGACGTTTATTTCAAGACGTAAATGATTTACGTCTTGTCGGGACTTTTATTTTTTTTCGTCTCGTGGGACGTTTATTTTAAGACGACAATGATTTACGTCCCACGCTTTCTCTTAATAAAATCGGTGAATGTACTGCCGACTTCACGAAATTAAACGCAAATATCTCCGAGCTCGATTATTGGAATTTGATTTGCTAACATCTGGCAACCCTTGTCAATAAACTACCACGTAAAAGCAAAGCCCTTTAATTTGACACCACATTTTTGAAAATCGAACGAACGAAGATTTAATGACATGAACAATTGTGGCGTTAAATATTTAACGCGATAAATCTCCGAACTCGATTAAGAAGTTTCATTCAATAAAAGTCCCATATCATCAAATCATTTCCGTCTTGAAATAAACGTCCCGAGAGACGAAAAAAAACCCATATAATTATTATGAGAAGACGTTAATAATTTCCGTCTTGAAATAAACGTCCCGCGAGACGAAAAAAAATTAAAGTCCCATATAATTATTATGAGATGACGAAAATAATTTACATTTTAAAATAATCGTCCCGCGGGACGAAAACAACTTTTCCATTGTTCAGTAATAATTATAGACCAATATTTAATTTTATTTCTTATAATCGTTATGGTCTCTGGTCTGAAATTTCGGTGACAGGTAATAAGGTCAATGGAAATAAGGTCAATTGACTTTATTTTCCACCCTGGTGCGAAACAAAGTCAATTTACATTATTATCTTTTCAAAAGCGAAATAAAGTCAACACAAATTTGGAAATAAAGTCATTGGCGCTATTTCCTCATTCAAATGGAAATAGCGTCAACAATGCTTAAAGTATGTCGATTCATAGAAAAAAATGTTGTTCTTACAATAAACATTGTCCCGTAAGTGTTGTTTTTTAATAGATGACAAAGGTTATTGCCAAATCCTCAGTGTTGTGATATTAATCCACACACAATCATGAACTACCACCAATTGATTTTATTAAAACAATTTAAATTACGAATATGTAAAAACACGATGCGAAAAACTAAACGTAAAGAGTGTAGAAATGATCCATCACTTGCAAAACATGTTTCGTTTCCACAAAAATAAAGCGAACACTATTAAATTGAAGAAACAGTCCATGTCCAAAAACCCCGGAGGAACACTGAAAGAATTCTGTGTTTTAAAGTAGCATATTTTGAACGAATTCGAAATGTCTAAGGTGGAAAAGAAACCAACCTTTCTATAAGGAAACAATTATAGAAAAAGAATTTTCTTGCACTGTATTCATGTCTCCGCCAGCAATTTGACCCGACATCATTTAAAAGCAGCTAAGGAATTCGTGCTCCCTTATTTTCATTTTGACACAGTTCAATGTTGATTCTTTTACTTTTATTTGGCTTTGCTTTTTGTTTTCGCTCAATTTAATTTTTATAATTTTTCAAAACAAAAGCAAAAACGTTGGAAATTAAGTGAGCCATACAAATTTTGAATTTATTTACCAGCAAATGTTTTTTCCCGGCTTTTGCAAATTGCATAAGTTCTCTGTTAGATGGTTTGTTGAAAAAAATACGTGAATATATACGGTATATGGGGTTTGGAAAAAGGGATATTTCCAGCAGTAAACGTTTTAGTGTGGGCAGCAATGATATTTTTTAAATAAGGCTCTCTGTGAAGACAATACCTGTAATTATTGTACCATGGTTAAAAAAAAAAACTTCAAATAACGAACGGTCTAACTGTTGTGATAAAGTAACTAAAATACTATTAAATACTACCTTTCAAAATATATGTTTACTGAGATGTTTGCTTGATAATTATAATATACTGTTTCAATTCGTCATAACATTGAACGATTTTTCCAACAGGGCGGCAGCTCAGCGTTGAATTGAAAATACTTTCGGCGCAACTATCTCCATTTATTGCAATTCCATTTGTTTCCATTTATCAGCTGTTCATTTCACAGCATATTCATTAGGTGCAACCCCGTATTCCTCGGACTCGGACTAGTAAAACTGTCAAAAAATAAAAATTCGCTCAGAGCGAGAGAGTAACATTGAAAAGTACGGGATCGCTTTCTAGTAAAAAATGGTAACTTCTGTCAACTTCAACATAACCTCCAAATTTTGGTTGTAAATTTTTGCTTATTTTGTATGTAAACACACTCAGCTCACACATGTAAATAACCAAAAATACTTTAAAGTTCATTAGAATCGACTTAAACAAGTAATTAAATACTTTTCAACATGAATTAGCAGAGTGCACTTTTCTTTTGTTTACAATTTGGTTGCCAAACACACCACAGCTGATCGTTTGACACATTTACCAGAATTTATCAGCAAAAAATTCTCGGACTAAAACTGGTAACTTCTGACAGAGAGAGAACCGTATTTACTCTCTTTTTTGTCCTCTCAATAGTCAGAGAACCGAGTACGGGATCGATTTCCAGTAAAATCTGACTGATTCTGACTATTTCTGACTAGTCCGGACTCGTACGGGATCGCAACTATTAACGCTTTTCTATGACGTAATTGTTGGGTTCAATAGTTGCAGCACAACCGAAATTTTCAATAAAGTATAGAGCCGTAACAAGGTCCTCAAGTCGCTCGCCAGCAGTACCTGGGACAAAGACAAAGAAACGTTGCTGGCTATATCCAAGGCAATTGGCCGGCGATCCTGAACTATGCTGCGCCTGTTCGGTCGCCGGGCACTAGTGGAGGCAGTGTACGAAGCTGCAAACTAGTCAGAATGCAGCACTCCGGACAGCGACAGGATGCTTTCTGATGACTTCTGAGCATCACCTTACCATGGGGTACAAATGCTTCCCTTAAGGGAGCAAAAAAAAAATTAAATAAACGCAGTTCAGACTTACATCGGCTAACCATTGGACCCGGCGACGTACCAACGAGTGATCAATGGCATTCATAGAGAGTCGGTCCTATAAATATCGTGATCGGAGCCCAACCACCACCTTTTGCAAACTCTGAGCTTCGACTGCCACGCTACTTTGGCCCAATTGCGACCAGAATATTGTTGCCGTCTCAAGAGGTAATTGTCCAGACATGACCCCGATATCCCCAATGAGTTCCCGGCATGTGGAGACTCCCCGATCCCGTCGAAGCAGCTCGTTTCTTGGGCCTACCGTTAGTTGAGCTTGACGACTACGATTGATGGATAAGCCGACCCAGGCGCGGAAACAACAAAAATGTCCCCAAATACCAGAAAAGTCATCCTTATTTATGTTCCCACTCTGATTCCGTTGGAATGCGTTGGTAAATTCTGTGCTCTAACGAATTAAAGATGAATATCTCATGCTTTAATGAACTATCGTCCGGAAAAGACAGTTAATTTTGTTCCATACTAACCCATGCTGTCTTGGAGCAAAATGCGACTTTTGGGGTCTCCTTTTTTTGACCTGACCTAGATAGTCCAGCAAGGGAGAGTGAAACTTTTCCAGTAGTAGCTTAACATTGGCAGCACTTTTGGCAAAGTCAAAGAACCATTGTTGGCACCACATAAGGTAGTGGTAGAAATGGGCCACCTTGTAGGCAGAAGCACCTCTATGAACTGAAGGATGAGATTGAGGACTACATCCGACAATCATTGGACCCGACGCGGTACATACAGGCAATCAAAAATATTCACAGAGGGATTACCACCGCCTTCACCTGTTCTCGCCCCGTGGATGCCGTCATAGGAGTTCAACTCATTGCAAAAAAAAGCTTCAGCTGCCTCGTAAGATCCGTCGATCTCTGGCGAAATTAACGTCCGGATACCATTAAATAAGCTGATTTAAGCTGGGCTTAGAGTGCCGCTATAACAATAATAAAATTCAAATTTTTAATGAGATATTCTCGGCGACTTTGTAAATAATGTTACTTTAGGTTCTTTTTTATTTCCTCGTGTAAATTATTGTATGATTTTGACTTTTATACGATGGTAAGCGTTTGCTAACACCCCACGTAAGTTCCAGATATTTGCAACCGTTTCTGGTTGAACATTATATGCGGAATCAACAGCTTTGGCCCAAATTTCGATTTCTTGTGCCGTTATCTTATCAATTGGGATTCGCGCAGTCCATAGTGACCAAGCATAATGGCGCCCGTCGGGTAGATCCTCCTGATCCAAATCTGCAACATGCCATGTTTTGCCCTGATCTATAGTCAAATCAACTCTCAGGATGCGACGGCCGCCACCTGACCACGCATATCCCTGTACTGTGAGACAACCATTAACTGGTATTTTTACTTCCTCACCCTCTGCTGGTGTACAAATCGCTGAAGTGACGGGCATTGCTTGAATGGCGTGTGCTTTGGAAAAATCGACAGTATCCCAATCCGTACTTGGGCTGAATACTTTATAATCATTCTGCTGCCAATGCGAACTAGATTCGCTCTCAGACACTGCAATACGAGAAAGCCATTTCACGTTGCGGGCGCCAACTGTACCAGGAACGATACACCGCAAAGGGAATCCATGATCTCGGCTGAGCGGTTTATCATTCATTTCATACGCTAGTAACACATCTCCTCGTTCGTCCATTGCTTTCGAAAGTGGGATGGATGCACCGTAAGGATGTGAAGTTGGATCGAGATCGGCACCTTCTAATACCACATGTAGGTTTTCATTGGGCTTAACACCCATTTCAAGTAGAACATCTCTCAAACGGACCCCGGACCAAGTTGCGTTACCCACTGCTCCTGCGTTCCAAGAAAGACCTGTAATAATAAATAAAACAACGAAGAAACGGTATTGTCAAGCTTAGGATTGAAAATACTACACCAACCTTTCACGGACTTCACCGTCGTCATTTCAGAACGTCGGTTACCTCCACACATTATTGCGGCAGTGACCGTATACTTCGGCATTCTCTTAATATCATTAAATGTAAATGATTTGACCTGTTCTGCAGTACCCGACTTGGTAGTTTCAATAGCAATTTCCAGCTCGTAGTCCTTTATGTCTAAAATAGGAACTGGTAAATGATTTCTAATGTAGAAAAATTCATTGGGAGTAAAAAAATGTTCTCCCAGAAGTTTCAATGGCGGCTCAGCATTGAACGGTCTAATTGATGCTGGCTTTAGGATAGGATGACGTTTAGGCTCATTAGCCCATGGTGAACCCATGTCGTTTGTGCTGACCTCATCTTCAGGGGAGAGATTGCCAATTCTATAAAGCTCTAAAAGCGTTAAAATTTCTTTATTATTGTGTTGCTGATAAATAGCCCAAAATGGATCGATTGCACTGCCGGCCCCCAACATAATCTTTTCACCACCTGGATGCTTAGCAATAAATTCTGTTATATCATATACGCCGACCCCATAGGTAACCCATACGCGATTCTCAATAGTACTGTGATTTTGAACATCGATTGTTTTATAGGTAGGTAAATCCGGGCGTGGTTTTGTATGCCAACTGGGTTTATCTTCATTGACTTCTGAGTTTAGTTCTCTCGTAGTGTTGATTTCATTGAATTTCACATTAAACAATTTATATTTGTGTTCGTACAGAGCAAAGCCAGCCACAGCACCTCCTAAAGCTAATAGTGCGTAAAAAACTCTACTTTTTTCCTCAGCGGGCTTGGTATTTTGGCTACTAACTAACCGATATTGTGGAAGGATTGATTGTATGAAATTTAAACGCCGCAATCGAAGTATCCGGTAAGATGCGCAAATTGAACTTTTACCGCGCGTCGGCAAAGTTTGAAACCATGTCCTTAGCATTTTGATCAAATCTGAAGAAATCTGAAAATAATGTTCCGACTTTGTTATTTCCATCGCATTTTTATATTTTCGCTTAAAGAATAATATGTATGTGGCGCTTTCAGTTTACATGTATGGTACATAAATGTGTTTTTACATATCGATGGCGGAGTGGAAGATTGACCTATCTCGGAAGCCAGTTCGAAAACGCACTGTCTCAGAAAACTTTTCAAGAACACCCTACTTCAGAATTTGATTGAAGAACGCCCTATTTCAGAATTTTATTGAAAAACACCCTATTTCAGAATTGGGTTCAAAAACGCCCTATCTCAAACGAAAATACAACTCGTACAATTTGGCCAGAATTCGGTGGCACACATTTTGTGCTTCGGACCGCCTTTGCAAGAATTAAATATGAGGCATTTGGCCACGATGTGTTGAGAGACGATCACTTGAGCTCTTTGACACCCAATATGAAAACAGTAGTCTGAGTGGTGTTTTCTGCACGCGTTGTTTTGTGCCTGGTTCCGACAAAAAAAAATCGTACAGGAAAAAAATTTGAATTTATAGAATACATAAGGCATCTATTGTTACGCAAAGAGGGGTGAGCTTAGGGTTGCCAACATTTTCTAAGAAATGTATAGTACTTTTTCAAAAAAATCGGAGAAAATATAGAACACTTCAAATAAATATAGTATTATATTTAAAAGAGAAAATTAAAACGCTTTTTAAGTGTACATCTTTTTTCTTTCTTATGCATTTCCTATTTATATTTCTTTGAAAGTATGCTTTAGTACGATGTTTCCACGAGTCGTAATTCGCTCTCTAAGTAATTCGTGAATTGCCCTGTTTCTACGACACACATTAGTAAAGCCTGCTCTAGTTCTTTGTCTTGTTCTTCGCTATTTAATATTATTTTTGTGTACTGCAAATATCGAAGATGGAGCTAAAATTTAAGTTATCATCAACAATTTTAATTTATATAGGGAATATTTTATTAATATTATTCTATAACTAGAAAAGGTGCCAGCAACTGGGACCAGGCTGGTGAAAACTTCGATATATTTCCGATAGATATTAGAGAAGGCTCCGATTCGTTCGTCATTCGCATGGTAATTCGATCTGAATCACCTACAAATGGGGTGATTCGCTCTCAAAATTTTGTTTAGCAAATTACGTAATTCGGAAGGTAATTGGCAAGGCGAATGACGAATGGGAGAGCGAATTACGAATCGTGGAAACGCCCTATAACGCAATCAATATTTAAATTAATATAAATCAAAAGTTCATTTTTATTAACGAAGTAGTCGCTTTGTTTCTCTCATTTCGCATTTGACATTCATAATAGAAAAACCTCTTTTTAGTTAATTAATTAACACATCATTACTACCTATTTTATTTGAGTAAAAACTTGTTGGTACTAAAATAAAGGTAATGCATTATAACATCTAAAAAAAAAATTCTATTATTTTATGAGCGTGGCATACCTACAAAGGGTAAATATGATAAATCTCGAACACTTTTGTACATGTGTGTATGTAAATGACACCAAATCATGGAGCATTCATTATATATTTATTTTAATTTAATGTATTTGTTTTTATCAAAACCCGGAGTTCAAATTAGTTAACACAAAAACCGTGAATTAAGTAATTCAAATTGTTCGAAAAGAAAAGGCACATCCAAAACCTTAAGTAAAATAACCAACATTGAAGTTCGTCAAAATGAAAATAAGGCAGCACGAATATCAATATGAAGTAAAAACCCCTGGGAAGGCAATACTTATGAGCAGGGAACGGATTTCATATTCAAATTGGGTGCCACTTGTATCAACCCACGTCAAGCGCACGTGTGGTACAATCCATGATAAAAACATTACAAGGTAAATTCATTCTCTTAATTCGTCGGCCATGATTTTTTTCTGACGTTTGCCAACATTTTAAAATCATATAAAATTGAGAATAAAAAAATTAAATCGTTCACAATTGTTGTTGTTTCAGATTGAAAATGAGAATGTGTGTGTGAGTTTGAGTTTTGATTTTAAAATTATATTGTTGGCAAACGTCAGACTGCCTCTCAATGGTTTTACCTTGTTATGTTTTTATCATGGGTACAATCAAGGCTTTTCTTCGCGAAAATGGAATCCGAACAACGTCTAATGGCGTTTTCGTTTCTACCTAAAAAAGTTAGCTTCTATTTGCCCTCTACGCACAAATACTAAGAAAAGGGCAATGAGAAAGGGTCATAAACTAGAAAGAGGGTTTTTCTTAACAGCGGTCGCCCCTCCTCAGGCAAGGCAAATCTCCGAGTATATTTCTCGCTTGAAAAATAATGTAGATTGACGCTTACACATATTTTAGTCTTTGGCCAGCTTCTCCTCTGATTTGTGGCGTGCGCCTTGATGTTGTCACAATGTCAATTTTACGCCGACTCCGAACGGCGACTGTATTTTTATGAGAAGCTGTTTTTCATGGCAGAATTGCAGTCGGAGGTCTGCCATTGCCTGCCAAGATGCGACCGCTGTTAAGAAAAAACCTTTTTTCTATATTTTTTTGTGATGTTGCTTCGACCAGGGTCTGAACCAAGGCACTGCGGAGTGGTAGCGCGCACTGCTAACCACTACACCACAGCGGCCGCCCTCCCTTGAAAAAGCTTCTCTTAAAATTCATTTGTCGTTCGGAGGCGGCATAAAATTGTATTTGTGTTATAACATCAGAAGGCACACCACAAATTAGAGGAGAAAGAAAGTGTGAGCACCAAAATATTTTTGCTATTAATAAGGACTACCCAAAATATTTTTGAGCTCAAATTGAACTCGCCCACAAGCTCCCAGGTATATTTTTTATTCCTCCGCTAACTAGCCTGTTTCTAGTTTTTTAACTAAAAAAAGTATTAATGTACAAGTCCCGAGCTGCGCTTAGGCAAATTTTCCGAATGTGTGTCTAAATGATCCAAAATTAGGACCAATATTATTAAAAATGGCCAACAAAGCACCATACAAATTAACTGCTTTTTCATGTTCCTGAGGAGAAGATGTACCAAACAAGCTTTAGTAAGAAAATTATATTTTTTATTTGGTAATAAATGCTGCACTATTTACATACATACTTATAGTGGCGCTCAAAATAATAGCAGCAAAATTCAAAATGATACTGCTGCCAACTTATCTTTATTTATTTATTGCTAATAATTTTCGTTTAAAATATGGGCCGATCTATATCAGATACCACATAAATAAAAGTTTCAAAGCTTTTTGTAGCGCATTCAATTTTTGCATGAACAAAACTTACTTTTATATGGAAGAAAATGCGCAACACCCTCCACAAAAAAAAAAAAATCTAAAAAATCAACAGTAATTTGTAGCGACTTGAAACTTGCACTTTTTTACACTAAAATTGTATGGGCTACAAAACTGCATATCCGAAAATTTTCTAAAGTTTCGGATTAAAAAGTTTGAAATTTTGATGACAACTTTTTTAAGTTTGATAAATTTTTTTGAAACTTATATAAGCTTTGAATTTTTTATTTATGTGCTATCTGATATAGATCGGCCCATATTTTAAACGAAAATTATTAGCAATAAATAAATAAAGATAAGTTGCCAGCAGTATCATTTTGAATTTTGCTGCTTTATTTTCAACGCCACTATATGTATAAAAATACTTTACTGTACTTATGTATATATACTTATCCATATACATATAGCGTACACATTTTTTTAATAAGTAATAAAAGATTTCGTTTTTTAATTACAGTTTATTTTTTTGTCGTTAAACTGCAAATAAATACTACCAAATCACTTTCTAAAAATGTAATACATAATACGACTTCCAACCGAGAAAGTTGTTTTGTATTTCTCTGCCACTATAAAAAGATTAAATGAAACACACGACACTTATCAATGGTCTTGAACTAGTTGAACTTGGCGATATAAAGCTCATAATATTGGTATGAGTTTAGAAATCATTTGCTTCTCTCTGGAATGGTGACACTCACAACTTATCTGATGAGAATTAGGAACGGGTGTGTCCCAACTAGTGTTGCCGCGAATCATTTTTAGTGGTAGCCAAATCCCTTTTAAAAAAGGAGTAAAAAGATCGAAAAAAAAATTTGCTGTGGCTAAAAATGGTAGCTAAAAGCTTTTATTTACATTGTACATGATTCTACCATCAGGCTCGAAGCACATAACATACCAGCAAAGAAGACCGAAATGATTCGAGCCAAAATTTCATAATTTTTTCACACACAAAAAACTTCGTTAAAACCCGTCCGAGCATTAAGATGGATTTCATTCACAAAAACACCTACAGATGAATTATATATACGTTTGTACAGCGCCACGCCCTCTTTTCAAATAGCCAATTTTTCTCAATGAGTATAAGAATAATTTCATATATCTCTACACCAAGTTCCAGTACTCTACCGTGAACATTTCTAGAGATATTCGGTTTGTATGGGAGGTGTCACGCCCCCTTCATACATCGAAAATTTTTTTAGCCTATAATAATCCTTGGGGCGTCTGAAGCAGGTGTCCGAAATTTCAAAAAAATCGGTTCGACGTTCTCGAGCTTTGCGAACACAAAAAACTGCTTTCAAAATATATAATAGTATAGATTGGTATGAATCGAAATGGTTTTGAATAATAATAATAATAATAATAGATTGGCGCTTACACATATGTTAGTGTTTGGCCGAGCTTCTTCTCCGATTTGTGGCGTGCGCCTTGATGTTGTCACACAAAGCGGAGGGACCTACAGTTTTACGCCGACTCCGAACGGCGATTGTATTTTTATGAGAAGCTGTTTTTCATGGCAGAAATACACTCGGAGGTTTGCTATTGCCTGGCGAGGGACGACCGCTGTTAAGAAAAAACCTTTTTTCTAAATTTTTGGGATGTTGCTTTGACCAGGGTTTGAACCCAGGTGTTGCGGAGTGAAAGTGCGCACTGCTTACCACTACACCACAGCGGCCGACGAAGATTTTTTTTCTGAGTTATGATTTTTTATAGAAAATATACGTTTTTGTGGTATATACTACAATATTCTTATATTGTTTAACTAAATGGAACATATGTATGTAATATATCAGCAAAAAGTACAGCAGTGATCATTTTTTGTGTATCAAATAGATATTAGAACGCACTTTCCACCATACAGTTTCGATTATAAAAAGCGGGAAAATGTGATTTTGTTTGGTACAAATTAAAAATCATGCTCGTACCTGACCGGTTGTCTGGAAATGGAAAGCATCACCTTAAAATTTTAAGCTGTTTATTGAGAATTTTTAGAAAATTTTTGGGTTTGCAGTTTTGTAGCTCAAAAAAAAAAAATTTATTAAAAATCAACGCAATTTTCCAGCGTCTTGAAAATTGCACTTTAACCTACTGGAATTTAATGAGCTACAAAACTGCAAACCCAACACTTTTCTAAAAATTCTGAATAAACAGTTTATAATTTTAGGATGCAAATGTTAAAGTTTGTAAAATTTTTGTAATTTTTGTACGACGTTTGAAATATGAATTTATGCGGCGCTGCTTAAGTGATGTGCTAGACTTTCATAAAAAAATATAAACATTAAATAAACAAAAGAAAAATAGCCAAAACTAGTCAAAATGTCTCCTGACTTAATCAGCTGACCACAAGTGTATGTGGCATATGTGGGACAAAGTTTGATTTGATTCCTGGTCGAAGCACCAACCAAGTTTTTTCTCTAATAGCGGTCTCGTCGCTTCATAGCGAGGCAAACGAAGAACTATTTGTATGCTGTTGCAACAACCGTTCCCACAACAGTCGGGTCTACGTAAGCGGACCCACCCAGATTTATATCTGGCCAAGGACTGTCACTCTAGCAACACTCCCCAAAAACTGTTCTGTATGCTGTTACAACAACAACAACAACAACTATTTGCAATCCTTAAGTTATAGCCTATTTGTTCTAACCCAATAAACAATATATAGATATTTGTTTTGGATGTAATAATTAAATAATCTTACCTTTGCAGGCACAAGTGCAGCGAATAAAAAGGACAAAAGCCAAAAGAAGCAAACTCCTCAAAGTGATGATAAGCGGAATAAACGAAAAAAAGATGATACTATTGAAAAAATTGATGCTGGTGATTTTATTGTTGAAGTGGGTGATAAGCTGAAAGTTTACTATCACGAAAAGAAGGTTACTTATGAAGCGAAAGTTATCGAAATCACTTTGCAACGTGGTCCGCCGATGTATTTGGTACATTATACCGGTTGGAACAACCGCTATGATGAGTGGGTGCCACGTGAACGCATTGCTGAAAACATAACGAAAGGATCAAAACAAAAGGGCCGTACTATGAATTCAAGTTTGTCCGAGAAGCAAAAAGAGAATCCTTCAAAACCTCCAACTGCTGCGTCGTTGAATTCCTCGTCGGGATCTCCAAATTCCAACGTTAATGTTTTAAGCAACACAGCTAGCTCCACAAAAATGCCGGTTTCGGCGAAACGTGGCCGTGGTCGGAGTGATTCCCTACCCCCGCGTTCCACTACGCCCTCTTCGGTAGCATCTAACTCAAGTCGCACAAAATCTCCCGCGACAGCTGGTCTGAAAAAAAGACCAATTCGCACGACAACAAATACTGCTCGACGAACCTCGGCCAACATTTCTGACGTGTCTTTGCAAAGTGAATCTGAAACAGACTCCGATGAACCAGTCCGACGGCCGACGCGGGCTACCAAAGAAATTGAGTATAAGTCAGGAAATGTAAGTGTTAAAGGAACAATAAAAAACAAATTATCCGTATCAGCTGGAAATAGCCAGTCGGATACAGATGATGACCGCGATGAAGGTGAGTCATCAACCATTTTAGGAGCAAATAATAGCTCTTCCCACACCTTAAACTCTAAAGGCCGCAGCTATGATCTTGGTCAAATACGTTCAGAATTAAGAGGATTCCAGGGATTGAAGTCACCCTCTTCATCAATGGCAGGAGATGATGAAATTTTATCAGATGTTAAAGCCGAAGAATCTTTGAATAAAGATGATAACAATTTCGATACTAAACATGTTGTGACTACTGATAATAACCCGTTAAGTGAATCAAATGCTATGGTCGTATCCGTGAAATGTGACCAGAAACAAGATTTAAAAGAAGAAGTTTTAAAATCTTCCACGGACATTTCTTCTGAGACCGAATCTTTCTGTGACGACGATTCACAGTCATCGGGAAAAACTACGACCCTTGAAAACATGACGAAAAAGTTTCAACAGAAAATAAAAGCAGGTAAACAACAAGCCTTAGAAAAACTTCCTTGTGGAAAATCTACGGTGGAGAGAGTACCAAAAGTTGTAGAGAAAATAATACAGGATTCCCTGGCAGAAAAGCTTCAAGAAAGCCTCAAAACAAAGCCGGATATTAAACAAGAAGAAATCTTAGAAAGAAGTACTAGTGACACTGTTACATGTAAATCGGAAACTGATAAAAAAGAAGAGTGTAAAGTGAGCACTATACATACCTCCGAGCTATTGCAGAAGGCAACTGCCAATAATCCGCCTCGATTCGCCGGCATAATTAGCACTAGTAAATTTACATCTGTTATTGAAAAACCAACGAGCTCTATCAAGAAAACAGATTTTGTTACCAGCAAGAAGGCGGACGTAATAAGGAAAGGAACCGCAGACAATTTAGAATCACAGTCGAAAAAACTCTTGGAACCATTGCTGAAAGAAGTGAATAAAATTGAACCGTCAGCAGCATGCTCACCATCCTCGTCGTCTTCATCGTCTTCGTCGTCATCGACATCGTCATCGCGTTCGTTGCCTGACATGAGTAAGCTTGATATTAGCGGTGGTTCTTCTACTTCCTCAACGTACTCAATTTCCAATAAAGAGTCTAAACCCGTCAAGGCGACATCACCTGATATTTACGAGTTCAAAGATCCAGAGCCATTTGAATTTGAAATCCGAAAATTGTCAACCACAAGCACAAATGCTTCCCCACTAAATTCGAGTAATGTAGCCACTAGTCCTCGAAAGCAAGCTCAGAAAATAGGAGTGCAACAATTAGTTGTTAATGAAAAAACACAACCAGCACAGAGTCCAATTGCTGCCTTGGTGAATCGCAAAAAAAAGGGGTCGCCAATGAAGGAAGCTGCATTGGACAAAGCCAAACATCTGAAATCTGATGAAAAAACTACAGTCATTTTAGAAGGGAAAATGGTTCAAGCTGGCTCTACAATGTCATCCGCAATGAAAAGCAGCTTAGGTAGCCAAACAAAATTGCTGTCACTAAATCCAATATCATTAGACCAAAACAAATCAGGATCACAGAAAACCGCCGACATTTCCATAAATACGCCATTTGATGCGTTGCGAAAATTGCCCAATTTTAATGTAAACATGAATGCGTTAAACGAAGAACTGGCACAAACAGTTCAGGAAACAACGAGGGCATTAACCGATGCTTTCCCAGCGCCAAGCGTGCCTTCTTTGCACGAAGTCACTGCTGGTCCATCAAGACTTGAACCGTCTAAAGAAACAGAAATCGGGAACATGGTTACCCCTCCTCGCAAGCATACACAAACAAATGCTTCTACATTGGTTAGCCCTGTTCCGGCTGTAGCCAAGAAAACTGTAATTGGTAGCCCATTTGTAGAGACTCGTAAAGACCTAAGCAACGTTTTTGAGTTGAGTACAGGGGAAGGGTCAACCACAATTGGTGAATTGAAAGATAATAAATTAGAATTCGAAAACGCAAAGAAAATGCTTTCAGCAACTGCGGGTGCCTTTGATTTGGACCCTTCAAAATACGAGAACAAACCAACATCTATAGCAGATAAACTTTTGAAAGCCATCAGTCAAAAAAAAGAGGAAGATAAACATAGAGTGGAACCAAAAAGTGAAAAAGTTGAGGAGAGCGGGACCACGACAGATGCAATGAATACTATTGTGAAAAATACTTCGAGTGTTTTACCTCAAATTACCAACGTTTCTGTCGAACCCTTGAATATTGATAGCGATTTGCCTGGATCCTCAATCAGTTATTTAAATAGCAGTAAAAGCTTGGCTTTAGAAGCTGTACCCCTGATACCTGTATCAATAAAAAAGTCGGTAGCTTATACTAATTCCGAACCAAAGTTGGGAATATTAGAGTCGATTGCAGTTAAAAATAACGACCTAACGGAGACAATACAAAAACTCGAGTGCGCTATTCAGCGGAAAACGCCAGTTACTGGACTTTCAGTTACAACTACACCGACGTCAAGCTTGGCCCCTAATACATTTTCCGAGGACTCAATGGATAGCACAGATTCCGAACGTCGGCTTGTTATTGAGGACGTAGCAGATGACCTATGTGATATGCTTAAAAGTCCCACTGGCTCACGTCATATTGGAGGAGAATTAAAGATATTGCAGACAAGTGTGATGCCACAAAAAATAGATATCAGCACAACTAAATTAATGTCAAACAACCTTGCTCCACACGCAGGCGTCCAAGCCCCTATACCTTTGAAAGTTGTACAACCTAGTCGATCGCAATCTGAGTTATTTCCATCCACTACACAGACTACTTACGTGTCTGCATCAAATAAAATAGTAGAAATACCGCCATCATCGTCAACACAAGTAGCTACAATCGGAAAAACTGAACAGGAAACTACACAACTAATATATATGGAGGCGCAAGAAGAGCTCAAAGTAAGGAGCGAGATTACTTCATCTTCGATTGGAGAAAATAAAGGACCTTATTATAAAGAAAGTATTTGTCCAAGAGATAATTTCAGCGGAAAATTAACTGAAACGGGCAACGACGCATCTCCAACGATGACTGCTGCTACAATTTTATTCACAAGCATAAAAACATCAAAACAACAGATTCAGAGAACAGCTGATGTTGTGCCAATTATTGTACCGGACATTCCAGTATCTGTTGTGGTGGCTTCCGGCGCAGTTCCATCAGTTAAGGCTGCGGCTCAAGCTGCGGCTGCAGCAGCAGCACAGAATTCATCCGAAGCATTCAAATCGGCATTAAAAGCCGACACCAAAGGAAGTTCTGCCACATCTAGAACGTCTTTGTCGTCAGTTATGTGCAGCACTTTTGTTGAGCCATTGGTATCCGATGAAAATGCAGAGTCCAAAGCAGTTCAGGATACGGGTGTCAATTTTAATATAACCGCTAATATAGCAGCTTTAAATCCACCTGCAACGGTTGCATTTACTCAATTGTCTGCCATATCAGCGAATTCTGGATTTTATTTGGACCCTCGCACAGAGCTGCGTCCCGAAGATGGCGTAAAACCCATTGTAGATATTCAGCGTACAAATCCCGAACTGGAATGTCTAAATGAAAAGGAAGTTGGTGGAGGTTTATGCGCGGAAGAGTTAGCGTCAAATTTGTGTATTGATGCAAATAACGATTCCATAAATTTGCTTTGCGAAGAGACAATTCCAGGCAGTCCAGCACCTGCTTTTGGCGGAAAAGAAGAACACTCAACAACACAGCAAATCACGGAAAGTACTATGGTGTTGGAAACTGACAATAAAGATTTACATAATAATACTAATCCGCTTGAGATTACCAGAACAAATGTTTTGATTGCAAACATCAGTAGTTCTCCAAATGATTCGGCGAGTCAAGATGAGAATTTGGATTTAGAAAATGAAATATCGCCTAGGAAACGTCGACGAACTAGAAAACAGTCGGAAATGGCAATTATCACAGAAGGACCGACGAAACGACGAAAACAGATGGGATGTTCGAAAAAAAACCCAGGTCAGTAGGACTTTGAAATCGATAGACAATTTTATTATTCCTTTATTTCCACATGTCATAAACAATATTAGTACATTAGTTTTCTGGTAATTGTGTTTTTTTTTTTTTAGAATTTTGCGGATATAAAATAATTCTTATATTTGAACTAATTAACTTGTCTTTCTGTCGTTTAAAAAAAAAACGCAAAATGAGCGAAATCACTCGCAGAAATTAGATTTCGCAGTCACTCTACAACAGGGCTGCTCAAAATATTTGTATTGTAGTGAAATCCCACCCAGCCAGCAAAGAAACGTAAATTTTGCCGACAGTGCAGTTCATTTAAATTTTCCGTATCCGAATACGCATAAAAAAAACTACAGTTATCATCAATTTTCGTATCTGGAAAACGTTCGAAAAAGGTGATGTCATTTGAAAGCAATAACTGTATTTTATTTGCTCAAGCTAAACATTTGAAAGCATGCATGGCGTGGTCGGCAGTGGCTCGCGTGCAGAGGAGTATGCCGCTAATTGTTAGCTTCCAGAAGGTGCCGGGTTCGAATTCCGTCAGGCGCTTCGTAATTTTATTTTATTTCTTTTGAACGATGAATGGATCATTAAAGTATCCGGAAATGGAATCGGTAAACGGGCAAAAATCCGGTTATCATCGACTTTTTTCCGTTTTCGGATTTTTTGCTGGCTGGGCTCATGGTACAATAACTGCAGGCATTGTCTTCCCAGAGAATTTTGCTTCACATCGAAATTCGTGCTCCCTTAATTTCATTTGGACTTAGTTCAATGTTGATTCTTTTACTTTTATTTGGATTTGCTTTTTGTTTTCGCTCAATTTAATTTTTATAATTTTTTGAAAATACTGGTTCCGTACGTCATGCGGACTGCGCCCCTCGTGCGGATGGGCGGGAATGGAGGGTAAAAACCGTTGGGTTTATTAATAAAACAAAAGCAAAAACGTTGGAAATTAAGTGAGCCATACAATTTTGAAATTATTTACAAGCAAATGTTTTTTTTTTCGGCTTTTGCAAATTAAATAAGTCCTATGCAAGAAGGTTTGTTTAAAAAATACGTGTACATATATGGTGTATGGGTATCCCTTACAATATCGCTTTTCCATAGCAGTAAACCTTTTAGTGTGGGCGACAATGATGTTTTTCAAATAAGGCAGATCGGAATATGTACTCTCTGGGAAGACAATACCTGTAATCATTGTACCCAACCTTTTTTTTGTAATTTAAATGAAGCTAAAAAGTACAAGTTTATTTTTATTGTACGATTAGCGAATGAAAATTGTTAACAATGGGTGTATTTCCATATATGTGAAATAATACAGTGCGTTAAGAAACGATAGCGACATAGTGGCTGAAAAGTTCCAAAATTTACGTAAGTCAACCTACGTTTACGCTACGTCGTCGACTAACTGCGCTTTAACAGAGAAAAACGTGTCGAACTCACAAAAGTACATTAACGAGCTACGCAAATTCTGATGTAAAGAGATCGAAGATGCACAATTTAAACTTAAGACAAGCGCTCCACTTGTTAAAGCATGTTCACATTAGCGTAATTTACGGCCCATTTGTAATTTATAAGCAAATCATTTTGAAATCAAGTAGTTTCGCCTTATAAATCAAGTAGTTTCGCCTTATAAATTAAGTAGAAATGAGATAATTTATCATAAATCAAGAACACAACGAAGAAAAAAAAACGCCTACGACCTTATTTTGCATGGACACTGATAGCCGATGGCCAAGCCCACACTAAAATTCGCCTTACGTATGACAACCAGCTACTGACCGTCGGCTACTGAGTCTACATAGAAACGCAATTTTCTGTTTCCCGCTTATGACGACTTTGTTATTTGTTTACATAATTTGTTAAACACCTTGGAGCAAAGTTGCCTATTACTTCGAAATGTACATTTCAAAAAAGTAAATTTGGATGTTGTCTGCGTTTTGCTGTATACCGAGATTAATCGCTATACATAATTCAAAGTATGATACTTGTAGCCACGGTTGCTAGACCAGCAACTAGACACCAGTTGCCATACATAATAGGGCTACAAGTAATTTATGCTGTAACGTGATTTGCTCATAATGTTCTCGTGCTGATTCTATATAACGCCCCAATTCTGGTTGTAAATCCAACACAGAGTGCGCATCTTAATCCGATTGAACACTTATGGAATATGCTCAAGACATGGTCCAAACACACAAAGTAAAACCAAGACTCCAACTGAAAGACTATCATCTATTAGTAGACAGAATACCAATTGTTTTACTTGTTTTGTTCACGATTTATGGTATACGCAGATATTTGTGACCATTATTTCTACGAAATGGATTTTAGGACTTTGTATAGGCAAGGATGACTTCCATATTAGAATATTATTATTTTATAAGGTTATTCCATAAATTAGCCAATTTTTCTAAACAAGCTGAATGTATGCAGAATATTGTGGAACACAGTATAATTTATTTAAATTGAAATTTATTTATAGCTGGTTCTGATAGCGATGAAAATTCGGATGGTACATCGCAGCGCAGCACTGTTCCATCTCGACACCAATTCCAACACCAACACCAACAGCTCCAGCTTCAACACCGACTTACATCAGTTGGAACTCGACCTTGTCCGTATAATTTCTTAGTCCAATTAGGTAAATTTTTTGTTGAAATGTGTAAAATATTTTGTTTAAAACAATCTCTACTAAAATAGATCCCAACATGGGCTCTGACCAGTGCATTGGAATTTTATTGAAGCAGATTCAAGAATTACGCAAGACATACAACGCTATCAAAGGTGACCTAGCAAATATTGATCGAAGGCGCAAAAAATTACGTCGCCGAGAAAGAGAGAAAAAGCAACAAGTGCAGAGCCAGCAGCAAATTAAAAGTACATAATTATATATGACATCCTATATATGTATGTATGTCTATTAATCAATTTAATAATCCATGTTGAAAATAAAGATTTTCATTATTAAGATAATACAAACTAACATGACAATTGTTTTTTTTTTGTTTTAATTTTAAATGCAAACCTTTATTTGTTAAAAGAGTTTTCAAAAACATTAGTAGCAATATTTTTTATGACACCGAATAACCTCCTTCCAAATTCAAATGATGGCCATTCACGAAACTTGACTTGCCACTTAATAAATAAGTTATCCCGTCAACTACTTCTTGTACCTCGCAAAACCGGTGTAGTGGGATGTGCGCCAGCAAAGGACCCGATTTATCGGGGTCGCTCCAGTTGTCACGACCCATTTTTGTCAGCACAACGGTTGGATTAACAGAGTTAACTCGAATTTGTTTGGCTCCCAGTTCCAATGCTAGTGAACGTGTAAGGGAGTCTACAGCAGCCTTGGATGCACTGTATATTGTATGACCAGCAAATGACCGAGAAGCAGCTAACGATGACACCATTACAATGCTTGAGCCTTTATTGAGCTTTGGTAAAAGAGTTTGTGTTACGTTGAAAACTGCCTTGATATTAATATCAAAAGTTCTGGAGTAGACAATTTATGGTAAAAGAATAAATGCAGCATTAATATATGTATTAACAAAAATTAGAGTCCGGCCGATTCCCCATTTTTGGCCGATGCCGATTAATCGGCCTTAGGGCAAAGAATCGGCCGATGCCGATGCCGATTCCTCAAAAAAACTACCTGAATATAATAATAATATATGTTTTGCTTTTATAATAACAAACGGAAAACATAAAAAAATAACAATACAAAACAAATAATCATTCACGAATCCATTCACTTATTTATGTATATACATAAATATGTATTAAAAGTAATATATCGCCTATGCATACATATCATTGCAATACTTTGTTCCATAGTCTTTTTCTTATTCAATGTTAAAAAAAAAAATAGTTCATTCCAAATCACAATGTACTCACAGTAAAAATATGCGGCATCTGCTGACTATAAAGGTGTTGTATTGAATACAATTTGTTAATAAACAGTAACCGTAGATTTTTAATGATAAAAGTATTTTTGTTACGTAAACAATTTAACTATTCAATGAAAAGAACCCGAAGGATTTAGGAATTCAGCGATTAGTTCAAGGATAATCGTAAAAAAAACTTACAGTAACGACATTTTAGCATTCTTTGGCTATTTCCCTTTCGTTTATTTAATGCTTCTTAATTTGTATGAAAGGGTAGGTCCTTATCTAACAAAAACCATGCTAGTAAAAATTTCAATTTTTTTTTCTGAGTATGCAGTTTTTTAGCCCATTCAATTTTATTTTAATGAAGTGCAAATTTTAAGTAACTACGACTTACTATTGATTTTTGGATTTTTTTTTTGTGGAAGGTGTTGCGGATTTTCTCCATACAAACAAATTTTCCTTACCTTACCTAACTACTTCTAACTTGCACTTTATTATACTAAAATGTAAAAAACTGCGAACTCAAAAAAAAAAAATAATCTAAAAAATCTGATTAAAGAGTTTCAAATTTTGATGAAAATGGTGGAAAAAGTAAAAAGAATCGGTCAAAAACGGCCGATGCCGATTCCTTTGGCCGATACTTGCCGATGCCGATGCCGATTAATCGGCCGGACTCTAAAAAATACATTGTATTTTTAATTTTCATAAGTTATTACTCATCAAAATCCTGCTCGGTTAATTCATCGAAGGGCTTGATAATAGCCACGCCTGCGTTGTTCACCAACCCATCTATTTGCGGAAGTTGCGAAAGAGTTTCTCGTGCACTTTGCCAATTTGTAAGGTCTATTGATATAGTTTTTATGGCTGAGCAACTGTTTTTAAGTTCTTCTAACTTATCCGCCGACTTTGAAAGCGCAATAACTTTGGCACCTAATGCTGACAAATGTTGACATAGAGCTCTTCCGATTCCTGTTTACATGTAATTTGGTGTTGTGATAGAAATAAAGCGAGAAAATTGGCAATGTATACCTTGGCCAGCTCCTGTCACGACAATTACTTTGTTTACCAAGTCTGCCATCTTCTCACGTTCACACAAATCGAGAGTATTCCTCACTTCTTGATAAGAAACTGTAAACTGACGTCAATTTGATTGCAGTACAAGTATTTTATGATTCTGATTGCGGACAGAAATGCGCTAGATGTGATTCGTTGGCCGCTATCACCTAAATCACAGAGCAGTACCTCTGGTGGTAAGTTATCTATTTTATATAAAAACAAAAAATTATTGCATACATGCTTATTCTATAATGAAAGCTTTAAAGTTTACGAAAGCTTCGTAAAATATTAATTCCGTGATTTAAGGTCTGATTTAAGGTATAAATCTGTGTTCGTATGGAATAGTAGCTTATATTGGAAGGCCGGCTTTAGTATAATGAACCATTTGAAGCAAACGTTGCGAATGACTCACTAGCCGTTGAAACGTTGGCAAATGAATGCGCAATAAATATCTCCGATACAAGCAAGACAATATTCTTATTAAGTTTCGCCAAAAAATGCCTTGTGTTTTAAAGAATAAAGGGAATGGTGCATTATTCTAAAGCCAGTCTTCCGACATAAGCTACTATTCCATACGTCACTAGACACGAATAAAGGCCCGCTGGCGTTTTGAAAGCGAAAAAAGGAGCGTGAAAAAATCTAACGGAAAAAAACGCTAAAGAAAAGCTTCAGCGAAGAAAGACGCGTAACCTATTTGACGGCGAAGAAAGACACGTTAACATAGACTTATACCTGGCCAAGGACTGTCGCTTCAGCATCATTCCCAAAATCTCTTCGGGGAATGTACATACTGTTACACCCGCAAACATAGCTAACCGCGAAGTTAAGTTTAAGCGTCTTACTTCGCCGTCAACTATTTTAAGAATCTTTCTTCGATGAAGTTTTTTTCTTATGCGTCTTTTCGCGGTCAACTTTTGAGCTCGCGCCTTTATTCTTGTCTAGTGACGATATATTATTCCGACGAATTGATAACCTCCTTTTTTGAAGTCGGTTAAAAAGTAAGTATGACGTGCGTAGTACGCGCACAGTGCAGGTCTCTGATCGCTACCTTAATCCACAAACGCCAAAACCAACCGCCAAAATCTGTGAAAACGCAGTTTCGATGTTTTTATTACGCCCATATGAATTAAGGTGATATATTGATCAAAGTCAGAATGAGAGATATATGTACACGCGTATGCTCGGTTGATTGTCCTTTCGAAGGAATTCACAAAATAATATTTTCGTAAAATCTTCAAAAAAAACATTTACTAAATCCGAATCGCGACTGATGTATTCGGATTCAGTGATAGCATTACATCGATTTTACGAAAAAGCAGGGCTCGAATAGTAACATCCGTTCACGGATCGAAAACGATACGAACGAAAATTACGTGATACGTCAGGCTGTATAAGCTGAATGGGACAAAGAGTACGTGCATGTATGATATAATCCGAAAAATGTGTTTTTACGTGCCGAGTAGTACGATATCGTAAGTGACGATTCGAGCCCAGACTATGATGTATTCAGCAATATTCCTTAATATTCACCCAACCACCCTTATAAATCTAGAAAACATCTTTTGGCTTTCAACGAAAACCGTTTTTTATTTTTGCATTTTTATACAAACTACAATTTAATTCAATTGGTGATATAGAAAATTAATAGAAGTGCTTTCCCCACTTCGGTTACTTGCTACAAATACATATTTAACTGCTTAATTTCATAAAATACGCGGTTAGCTCTGTTTATGTTCATAAAGAATAAGTAATTTTTGTTTATGAATGTAAATAAAAAGTGCACATTGCATTGATACATATCCATGTATATGCCATAGAGTTCAATCAAATTTATACGTCTACCTTATAAATAAATACATATTTTAATACAAATAATTAAACTTATTTTATATAAATCAGACAATAAGCGAAAAGTATCTGATGAAAAATGAACCTGTCTGAAAATTCAGAAAATTTGGTCCTAAATGTTTTGATCTGAACATTTTATTTAGCAACTTCTTTTTTAACCAAATGTAAATAAGCTTATGCCTGTCAATTTAAGACATTCTTACATGTAGTACATTTTTATTAATTTTATCATATAATTAAGAAAAAATGGTAAATATATTATTATGGATATAGATGTTGTGGCTTAAGCGCGTTCTCCTCTGATTCGGCGAGCCAACTGAATGTCTTTCGGCATAATGGTTACACGTTTGGCATGGATAGCGCACAAATTGGTATCCTCGAAAAGACCTACAAGGTATGCCTCAGATGCTTCCTATAATCAATAGATTGAAATCCTTTATGTACAATGGTTTTTAACTATATCTATTGCTAACTTACTTGCAAAGCACCGATGGCAGCAGATTGAAAACGCAAATCAGTTTTGAAATCTTGGGCGATTTCACGCACTAAACGCTGAAATGGCAATTTACGAATCAGCAATTCGGTGGATTTTTGATAACGGCGAATTTCACGCAAAGCAACAGTACCAGGGCGATAACGATGGGGTTTCTTTACGCCACCCGTGGAAGGAGCAGATTTACGAGCTGCCTTGGTTGCGAGTTGTTTGCGGGGAGCTTTTCCACCGGTCGACTTACGTGCAGTTTGCTTAGTACGTGCCATTTCTGTTTAAGATTAGCTGAAAGTATAAGAAAACATTTTACATTTTTTTATTCTATACATTGTTTGTTGTATAAAACTAACCGATATTTGGAACTGGTGTTATATAAATATATTTTGTTTCTTTTTTTTCCAAATCAAGATGTTTCTATATCACTTCGCGCCAAATACCCGCGCAATAGTCCCGCCAAAATCTTACACAGGTGTGTAGTTGTAAAATATAATTATTAATTTTATTCAGGGTTATCAAAAATTAGCATTACGAAGCATTCATAAAACTCGTCCCGCTACAAAACCTATAGTCTACCAATAAAAGCGAAATTTAACATTTATTTTTAAGAAAGCAATTCTTAGCTCATGAGGGGGAAAAATACGTCACCGCCTGCAAAACAAAACGAGCGCGCTGTTCGTTTAAGTATACACACAATCCAGCTTTTTCACTCATACTTGTACACATGCTTACGAATTAAAATCGCAGAAATTATTTAACATGTAGATTTCTATGTTTTGCTATTATTTGTTTTGCCTGGTATGTAAGTAGGTGCAAAACAGGTTTAATTTTTGGAACTAGCCGAAATATTAAAATTAAATGTAGTTTTTCCTCCCCATTGATTGCCTGACTAATAAACCTTACACATTAGATATTGCAGAACGGCCTATTCATAAGAAGTTGCTAAGAAAGTTTTTTTAAGTTCTAGTATACATGATTATTACGGAATTCGATTTGACTTGCATTTACAATCACTTAATTTAATAAAGAAAAAACAAGCATCACCAACGCTAATCGGCCGCCATTTTGGAAAAGTCCAACACCAAACCAACTACACAAATTACCCTGTGTATACGCCATTTGTATGTATCTAGTGAAAACTAAAATGCCCCTCAATGTGCTATATGTATATTTAGTTAAACAATGAATTTGAAGTGCCCCCATTTTCTGTTGAACAAAAAAAATAATATTGATAATATACTTACACTTTTTTTCTTTTGCTGATTTAGAAGTTTTAAATAAATTGAACTTTCACAACTCACGAATGTCCTACTCAATCACCGACTGATTAAACAATGAACTTTGGATGAATTTCGTTCAATCTACTTCAGGGATGATCAGATATATCGCATACGGTATTAGAACGTAAGAGCGCTGTCACACGGTCAGTAATTATCACGATATTTGGATCGCGATCCATATTGATGGATTGATGGATCGCGCACGAATGCTACTCGCTCAATATTTATCGCGTCTGTATTTGCATAATTTTTGCGCTGAACGCTTATTATGATGCAAGAAAATATTTTAATTTTGTACGAATAATTTGCAGATAATGCATTCCACAATTATTTTAAAATTTCCCATGTTAATTAAAATTTTTATTCAATTTATTCATCCATCTCACCGTCTCCACAGGATAAAGTTTATATCTTGATACATATGTAAGAATATAAATAGTCAATGGAGACCGCACCGAGCTTATATCCTGCCATCTATTGCTGGCAATTTTCATCTGCACGAAAACTTCGTGGCGGCAACGTTATTGATATTTTGATATAAAAGCAAAAATTGAGCTATTTTTAATTGAAATATTTTTTATTATGTTCTTGTATGTGAAATAGCCCATTTTCTAAATATTTTTAAGTGATTAAATCCGGCAAAAATACGTTTTAGAAGCTATCTCACAGATGCTTATATCAAGATATAAAAAGCCGACACAAATATTGCCACTGATATAACTTTTATCTAGTAACCAAAATGACAGCTGGACAGCAATAAATTTTATTCTGTGTCAAGGAGCGAACAACATTGTTGCCACTTGTTTAGCATAATTAAATAAAAATGATCTGAAACCCAACGAAAGTAAAATGGCATTTAAACAACAATCTAAAATTACACTTAAGCGCCCTTTAAATATTTATTTGAAATTGGCCCTAACGCACTCGTACTTTTATAAATTGACAGGAGGATGGAATTTTGACCTTCTTATTTGTTTGGCGGCCTAATTCCGTTTTTTGATCGCGGCCTCACTTCACTTTCTAAAATGAATTATTCCCGCGCGGCCTAATTTAATTTTTTTGATCGTGGCCTAATTTCACTTGTTAAAATCATTTATGCCCGCGCGGCCTAATTTAAATTTTTGATTGGTTTTGATTGGTAGAATTAAATTATCCGCTTAAAACACAAATAAATTTTATTTTTCATTTGGTCGACAAATCAAACCACAAAATAATGAAAGGTTTTATCTGCAAAAGGCTTTCCGCGCCCCTCTTCTTCGGCAATACAGAAAGGAGAATTCTACTTAGTGAGGGCGGCCAAAAAAGGTTATTTAAGAAAAAAAGTATTATTTTTTTTCGTTTTTGGTATTTTTTGCTTATGCCCGCGAGGCCTGTTTTTATTTTTTGATCAAGGCCTAATTTCCCTAGTCAAATTGAATTATGCCCGCGCGGCCTAGTCTAATTTTTGGATCCCAGATTAATTTCACTTGGCACAATAAATTATGCCAGTGCGGCCTAGTTTCATTTTTGGCCTAATTTCACTTGGCAAAATGAATTATGCCCGCGCGGCCTAACTTCATTTTTGGATCGCGGTCTTCATACACGCGGCCATAATTCACGGAGCCAAGTTCATATACTAAAAAGGATTGGATGGAATTTTGACCGCGTGGGAAAACCGGCACGTAGTGCTTGAACCCGGGCCCTGCGGAGTGGTAGCACGCACTGCTAACCACTGCACCACAGTGGCCGCCAATATTACTGTACGTTAAAAAGTTGTCCAAGGGTTAATCACAAATCACCACCTTTAAATCAACCATCTGAACCATTGCGCTCCTTGATAAGACATTAGAGGTATTTCGGGAATAAATGCAGTATAGCGGCCGTTGAGATACAACAAAAATTAAAAGTGGGCGTGGTCCGCTCCTTTCTACTGATTTGAAAGGTGTAAATAGGGGCGGAGCTATTTATTTATATTTATATTTATATATATATTTATATTTATATTTATATTTATATTTTCAAAAGCTTATATTTCGAAAATTATTGCACATATTCCATTTAGCTGCATTTACTTCCCGTGCAGACACGTCAAGTCTTGCTTTCAAGTCTGCTCGTTCGTTGGCGAAGGAGGTGGGAAGAGAGGGGAAGAGTACAGATACCTCCCACGATTGAGAGAATACAAAGGTTGCGCCGATCTCGGACCGCTATTCCTCTCTTAACGAATTTGACAGAATCGTTGTTTGCATGACGTCACACTGGTGCAACCTGTTTACGTTTTCCTTGCAACATTTCTTCTTCTTCCATTCTTGCTCACGTTTTGGCATTTCTCTCTCGCAATTGCACCAGTGTGACGTCACACAAAAGTTATTCTCAAAAATCCCCTCTGATCGGCGCAATCTTGTATTCTATCATTCTTGGATACCTCCGTCATTGGATAACTAGATATGAAACTCTCTCATTTTTTCTGGGAGCGCGCCCAGGAACTCGTTTTCGTACTTGGCAGCACTGCCAATCCCTGGGCAGATAAACAGCTGACACGCGAAGTGGCGAGCTACCACTAGATGTGTGGAAAATGCATCACATTGAATTCAGTGGATTTCTCCTTTCCGCATTTTTTAATATTATTATAAAAGAGTAGTTGTAACTAAATGCGATTTTACTGGCAATATAAACACTGAAATATAAAAGAGATATGAAAAATATTGCAACTTTTGTTCGTTGTGTTTAATCAAAAGCTTCTCCATAAATTTCTCTATAAATGCCCATACATGTTTACGTCACAGTGGCACGATTGAGAGAAATAGAGATTGCGCCAATCGCGGTACCGCTAATCCGCTCTTTGATATTTTGACAGAATGAGCTGTGTGCGTGACGTCATCTTGGTGCAATTGTTGAACGTGAGCATACGAAAAACACCAAATAACAATTCTAATATTTGTGCGTTAATATTTCTGCGTAGTTTTAAACAATTATTGACACCTTAAAAGGCAAAACGAAGTGTGCAGTGGCAAAGTGTAATAGTGAAAACAAAAGGAAAGCGTGCTATATAAGTTATTTTTTCGTTTCCTACGGACGCAAACCTGGCGAAAAAGTGGAAGCAGTTCTGCCGGGGAGGACATGCATTAAATACCAAATCCAGCTTTGTGCTATGTGTGTGAGCTATGAGCTTCTACATGGAACTATGTTGGCCTTTCCTTGGTGAATTGTAGTAGGTATATTTCCACGGTGAAGCTCGGAACACTTTGACGACTGCAATTTCACGACGTAACGACAGCGACATCATTTTGTCGACAAATGTCACCTTGAAGCCAGCTTCTTAAACATTTTGAAGACCTCAGCGACATAGCAAACAGCTGATTTTAAAGTTTGACATTTTGGTATATTTATTTCACAAATTGTGTATTTTTATTTAAGTAAATAAGAAAAACATGAACAATCAAGAATATGTGATTAATTTTGCGACAATTTAATTTTGCAGCACTACATCTACTCATTGTCGCCGGCAAAATTAGAAATAGATTTAATTTGGCGACGTCGACAATTGCAGTCCGCAGCCAAGATGTCGTGCTGTCGTCAAAATAATTGTGTCCGTAAGAACGTGTGTATTTAAAATTTGACAGATGCTGCTTGTCGCTTGCTGTCGTCAAAGTGTTCCGAGCTTGAATGTAGACAGTTGCTGGTTTAGTTTGCTGGCAATGGCATACATACAAAAATAGTTTCTACAGTAAATAGATACATGAACTTCACTACCTACTTATTTTTGTTAGTACCTGATTCTTTTAGTGCTGGTATGAGGTAATGCACCAGTGGATAAGGTCGCCAGGCGTTAATTCAAGCGGCATCTTACCGCGCTGTTACGTACCTAATACAAAACAGTGGCCAAATTATTATACATTTAAAAGTTCAGCTTAAATTATGTTTTACTGACATAGAATATTTGCTTCCAAAAAGTCACACAAATAAAAGCTGCGGAGTCAACAGCTGTGGAGTTTATGGTGGTTGGCTACCGTCCACAAATATAAATATGCACTCTGCATCGCTTTTTAAAATGGCAAGTCCAAAGATTCACTTTGCTGCACACCTTCCTTTTGGTCTACATGAAATTGCAAACACTGTTCATACATCCATTTTTTCATGTGCTAAAAATCGTACTTATCTAAAGGGCTACATGTCCAAAAATATTGCTACGTGTTCCTAATTAATCAATCTTTGGTTTTTGTTGCTTCCGATCGGTTTGGATATGTTACAGAATTTTCTTGATAGGCTAGTCCGATCTAATTATCTTTAGTGCAAATAAAACAAGTTTATTCCACTATTACAGCCCAACGTTTCGCTAAACTTATTAGCATCATCAGGGGCGCGTTTGTTTATTTTTTTCTGTTACAGCAATAAATACAAAATATAAAAAAGAACATTAAAAGCAGAGAAACACAAACAAGTACATACATACATGTACGTATTCACATATAAATATAGTTGGATGACAATAACATATGTAAATAAACAATTCTAACTCGATCTTTGTATATTTATTGATTCATGCAAAATTGGGCCATGTAATATTCAAATTAACAAATTTTTCTGCATTGTTTACACATTTTTATATGCGTTTTGGCATTTCTCTCGCGCAATTGCACCAAGATGACGTCACGCAAAAATTACGCTCAAAAATCCTCTCTCATTGGCGCAATCTTGTATTCTATCATTCTTGTCACAGTGGCTCTACTGGAGAATGTTATAAAAAATACACACTTTGACAGCGCTCTCACGAGAAAAAGAGTTTGTCCCCTTTCAGACACGTCAAGTCTTGCTTTCAAGTCTGCTCGTTCGTCGGTGAAGGAGGTGGGAAGAGAGGAAGTACAGATACCTCCGTACCGTCAATTCTTTTGATCTTTTCGTTGCTTCCCATTTAAAGATCCGAGGACTTGAATTCAATTAAAGTTGACGCGTGTGGAAGCAAATAGAAAACGCAAAAGAGAATGCGATAAAAATTGCTTTCAAGACTTGACGTGTCTGAAAGGGGACCTAAGCAAAATGTGCAGCAAAGCGGAAAAACAAAAACTATGATTTGTTTTGTTTTCGATTTTACATTCCATTTTCCCCTTTCAATTTTCAATACACTCAAAATGTATTCAACAAAGTGTGATTTGGGGTGTTCACAGTTCGTTCCAAATAGTGTCTCAAAATGTAGACGTCTACATTTTAAGACGTTTTCTAACCGTAAAATCTGTGGTGTTGTTATTTCCCATACAAAATTGGAAAACGACGCCGTCTACATTTTGTCACACTCAAAGGTATGTTTTTTACGCGTCTACATTTTGCAACCTCGCAGCAGGGTTGCATTATGGCAATACTAATCGCATTTTTTTTATTTATTGGGCACGTTTTCTATATTTGCATTTAATTTGAGCGCAATTTCTGATGAAAAGAAATAAATCAAGGAAAAGAAATAACAAATATTAGGAATTGGTAATTAAGTTAAATAATTACAATTTTTCAGAAACAAAATCGAAAGGCGACATATAAAAAAGCACGCAAAGAAGAAATGTCTGGCAACACCAGCAAAGTTTTGAGACGATTTTGCGACGACTGCTAGAAAGGGGTGCTCACAGTTTGATGCTAAAGATGTCTCAAAATGTAGACGTCTACATTTTCAGACACAATTTGGAACGAACTGTGAACACCCCAATTGATTTTGACATTGCTCTCATAAGAAGCAGGCTATAATGTCAAATTGAAATGAATTGTTAACCCATTTGAAAATATTTTTTTTTTTAAATTTGAATTTGTTTAAAAAATTTACATAAAAATTTTTCAAGCAACAAATTTTCTTAATAAACGTGAAATTGTTAAGAGATACACCGCAGAGGAGAGCAAGTAAGTACATTTAAAGTTTGGTAATAAGTAAATACGTTCGACTTTGCTTAAGTATTTAATGTAAGGAAACCAAGATGAAACGGAGCAAAACTTTTGAACGGTGCGCTGTATGCAATAGAAGTCGGGACACGAAAATAGTGCGATGTTTTAAACCACCTAGTTGCGAGTTAAGACGTCAGCGATGTGGTGTTGTACTACGTGATTCATCTCGCGTTTGTGAAAACCACTTCAAGGAAAGTGATTTCATTTGTTGTTCGTCCGAATCAAGCACTTTCAAACGAGCTCGTTTGTACCCAAACTATTTCGCATAAAACTTGGGCAATTAAAAACAAGAAAATTGCTAAAACGATTTTATAAACAATTTGTTTTATTTTATTGACAACATATATATATTCCAGGTAATGTAAGGCACTCCGCACATTAAGCTCATAATCATAGTAGTGTAATCGTTTCGGCATAAAATGTCAAATTTTTACTTTGATCCGTAAAAATTTGCTCTTTTCTATCAATTGGCACAGGCCATTAACGTGAAAAAGGCCTCTTTAACACTAGACGCTATAGAGGCATTATTACTTTTTCTGGGTCTTCATCGCCACTACTGAATTCAGACATGGCACGGGCATAAATTTGGCATAATTATTAGAAACGTGATATGTCACTTAAGTTTTGTGTGTAGGCTCAGTATGCCAAATAAATAGAAAAAGTAATAAAGAAAAGAAAAATTTGAGGCGTGGCACGCCCACTCCACTCATACAAATACAAATAGTGATATAATTCAGCTGCAATTTAATTTAATTTATAAGATAAATATTGCAATATGGGCATCAAACTGAAGATGTTTAGAAAAGTTTTCTGCCGAAAAAATTTTCGAGGGCTGCCACCTGTTTGAAAATTTCTATTTAATTAAATTGATAAAATAAATGAAATATTGGAATACGGGTATCAAACAACACAAAAATACAAAAATACAAAAATACGGGTAAAAAAAAATAAATTTTGGGCAAGACGAAGTTCGCCGGGCCTGCTAGTTATTATTATATTATCAAAGTTCATAAAAATAAATGTATTTGCTACATAACATTACCTATTATGCACAGAAAATTTACTTTGACTACAATTATTTTATGAAATTGTGAATTTTTTTGTTAAGATGAATACCTTTTTATGTGTTTTGTATTTTATGTGCGCTTTAAAAGTGATTATTTTTTGAAAAAATCAATTTACTTATTTAAAGTAATTCGATGGCTTCGGCCGGACTCCTTCGGTCGGACTCTAAAGCGTAGCCATTTAGATCTTGAAGCCATGGCGGAACAAATTTTATAAGATATACAAAAAATCAGGTTCTATTGACGATAAAACAAAATATCTTTATTACTTGAATGAGTTTAACTGTCCTAATAAATTTCTTTAGAAAAACATAAATACGTATGTATAATTTTTTATTAAAATTCGTCTTCCAATTTTTATTTATTGAAAATTAATATGAGAAAATACCAGATTAAAATAAAACAGTATAAAAAAGCAATAAATAAAATGCATAAATGTATATATATAATTATGTATGTATCTATTTACATATGTAGATACGGAAGCTTTTTGTATAAGCTTTTTTTATTGCATTACATACTTAAATATACATATATTATTTATAGTTAGTAGATAGATACATATATGTATACTATATGTACGCACATATGTAAATATTTACACAGATTTATGTAGTTAAGCATATGCCGTGAATGCATATACTTATGTATATCTATGCACATAAGTACATTCATATGTACATATGTATGCACATAAATTATTTCAATAATGTGCACAATGCAAAAAGCAAAAAGTTTTTTCTCGATTGTTTTCGTTGCTATAAGCCCTCATGTATGTATGTCTTTAAATTAAACTTAGTCTACTGTTTGTTTTTCGCAATTGGGCTCGCCATGGAATAATGTTGTCAGTGTCATCGACTTTGATGTATTGCTTCTCAGTGGATATGTTCTGTGTGTTGGCTTCCTCTGTTGTCGGCGGCATATTGCCTATTGTGGTTTGTTCATTTTGGCCTTTGTTTTCCTTGTTGCTGTTATCACACACTTCTGAATCAGGTGTCTGAGTATCGGTGCATGGAGAAACCAAATTAATGTTGTCAATTGAAAAGGCTCTGTTCTTTAGCTGCCATGTCTCAGCTATGCGATTATTTTCCTCCACTTTGGGTGTATAAATTGAAGATCTGAAAAGGGATAGGTTATATATAAATGGTCCTCAAGTATTTAACTATGCAACTTAGAATATAACAAGTACTTTAATTTATTTTCAGTCTCTTCACGCCGCGCAAGCAAATCTCTTTTCCACTGAGGTATTTGTGAGAGCCGCCTATTCTCAGCTTCTTTCGCCATTCGTTCTTCGAATTCTTTCTTAGCACGCTCGGCAGCCTTCTTAGCCATCATTTGGCGCTTCCAATCCGGAATCACGTTGCCAGCTTGATCTTTTTCTGGAATCTGCAAATAAAGCTTTGATAGCGAATGAGGCGCCCGTGAAATTTAGACAAATGTGCTAAATGTCCTTACCTGATCCATATAATTGTTGGCTGTAAACTGTTTCGAAATTTCCGAATAATTTTCAGAATCAAAATGACCAGCTAATTGTTTTTCCACCTTCATCTTTTTAATGCCTGAAATATCCTTTGATATCTTTAATTCAGCAATTAGGTCGGTCTTAAGATAAACTTCCGATGAAGTGGTCAGACACTGCATACTAAGGCTACGTGCTGGCATTTGATACGGCTTAGGCATTTTCTGAGTATCTGTTCGTCGAAGCTATATATGTACATATGTATGTAAGTATATGAATTTACGCAATCGAATCGAAATTACCTGGACACTGTTAAGGTCCTGAATAGAAATGGCAGATAGTGGCTGATGTTGTTTACGCGTCGCAGTATCCTGATTGACTATGGACACGTGCGAATTCATTGTTTTCATATTGCTATGCTTCTCATTGTGTTGTGTTACAGGATGAACTGGAAGTGGTGGTGGCGGTGGTGGCTTCGGAGGCTCGAAGCCGGCTGCATGTTGATTAGTCACCTGGATATGCATATAATCCTCACTATCCGTCGATCTGGTTGATAATTCCCAATGAAATCATAATAAAAACTTATTTAGAACTTTTCTTGGTTAGGTTTCAGGATTCATACAAATGTGTATTGGCAAAGTTTTTACAAATTAAAATTTTCTTTCAAGCCATATAGTATGTACATATTTCGGCACCTTAAACTAACCTACTCCAAGTTGAGTGCGTTCGTAATATCATCGTTATTGCTACTGAACTGAAAGGAACTGTTAACATCATTCGAACATGAGATTGAATGATTCGTTGGCGAAACTCGCATAAATTATGGATAAGCACGCGAATGCTAATACTAAAAACCAAAAGATGGTGAAGTGGACCACTGTATCTGGCATACGATGCACGCACTCATGCAGCACGCGAATAACAAGACAAAGTAGATAATGCCTACAAATTGAATGCACTAATTACTTTATGGTATTCGTTGGCTATTTGGAAGTTAGTGCATGCAATCAAAGACTTTTGTAGGTTAACGCTTTTCGAATATACATAAGTACATGTCGTCGAAGTTTTTGCAAAACCGCCCATCGACCAGTTTTAAAACCGCCTAAATCGCCGTTGTGGCAAAAATTAAATTTCGTAATCCTGAACTCCAGGCATCGAGGTTTATGCATAAAAATCATAAAACCGAAGAGAAAATAACACCTATCATGGCCTTGCCTTCAAAGTTAACCGTTTTTTTGCTCTCCTGTAAAATTTGAGTGTCGTAAGATAGGCGGTTTTGCAATTGGTCGATGGGCGGGTTTGCAAAAACATCGACGATATGTACTTATGCATGTAACTAACTAACTAATACATATCTACTAGTTTTGTTCTTCGTGTTGCAGCAGCACCGACTTTAAGTTAGGGAGACCAGGGCGGTAGCAATATTGTTTTACATTACCATCAATTTTAGTTAGGTTTGTAAATTTTATCAAAAAACCCAATTCCCAAAGGAATAAAGTATCGTGACAACTCTATTATCTTAATAGGACCAGGACCTACCACCGGAATATAGTACTTATAGATGATGAGGCCAGTTTGCTCAACAACCCACTTCCCACAGCTGGTTTGGAGGGAAGTAGAAACCATACTAAATAAAACATAGAAGGAAAAGGTTAAACTATTTGGTCCCCTTTAATTTGAAAGGAATCCTAATTTAGATTTCTTCTAAAACAAGTATTTAGAAGTAATTCTAAGATAAATTTCATATCCTCATTTGTTGCTATTTAATTCTTTTTTTCCACAACATTTTTCGTATAAAATGGCCTGAAGCTCAATAAAATTGTTGAATATAATTGCTATTTAAACTTTGTTACAAGTCTTTAGAAATTTAACTTGAAGGCGGGCTCACCCTTTCATTTTTTATTAAATATTCACAAATATTTTGTAAAATAAAAAAGGCGCCATATGTAGGAGGTGCTTAGATGGTTATTGTGCGGCAGGCTTGTGTACCGATAGCTGATTGAATATTGGAACTACATAGTCTTACCTTGCAGAGGAAGGGCACGATCGTTTATCACTTATACTCTTTAGATACTCGGATGGTTTTATGAGATGAGTTACGCCGTCTTGCGATTTGTTTGGGAAACTGGGGGGCACGAAAGGCAGCACTAACTGCTTATTAACTAAATTCGGGCCGCCCGGGCGAGTACAATGTGCTCCAGGTGGTAGACCAATATTCGAATTATTGTATCCGTATTGTGCCTGCTGCAGTTCATAGTGGTCCTCGGCTGAAGATCCATAAGCTTGAGATTGTTGATAGCCTTGATGCAGCTGCCTTTGTTGGATATCTGCTTGATGTAAATGGTAGTTTTGCGACTGCGTTCTGCCTTCTTGTTGGTCATTGCAAACGTGATAGCTTTCACAAGCAATGTTGCCATTGTTGAAACTGCCGATTCGGACTGCTTGATAATTGCTTATTTCGGCATTAGATGCATTACAACCACCAACGGGAGTAGTCGCAGGGGGTTGTTGTGCACTTGAATTTCCACCGCCATTAAGAAGCTTAGCTTTCTTGTTTGCTGTAAAAGTAATGTATTGCATAATTAAATTATAAATTATTTATAGTAATATACCGATTAGGGAGTTCACAAAGGTGTACATATATTGTCGTATAGTTGTACATATATATGTCGTAAATTTTAAACGACTAAAAATATATGAGGGGTGTTCGCAAGGTACCATAAAAATCATAATACGTATTTTCACAGTGTCAAAAATATTTAGTTGGTTGTGGCGTCAAGGCTTCCATGGTGGAATTATACAAGGTGTTGTACGTAGTGACAGCTCATGTCGACAGCTCCCTTACAAAAGGTTGTAATATGGAAGCACGAGAGAAACGGGAAGAAAAAAAGCCCGCTTTGCGAAGTAGTACGAAATTTGGTACTCTTTCATATCAAATTTTGCATATAAATAGTAACAAACGGTATATTATGATAAGCTAAATTTGCGAAAGTAGTATATATTACGTAGCACTTATGCAATAAATGGTAATTTAGTTTATTAAACACAATGTCCTATAATTATAGTCAAACTTCCAAAACCGCTTTGGGGTCTAATTTTTACCCGAAAATACTATAAGATGATTGATATAACTTACAAAAATTTCGCCATCAAAAAATTAGTGGTGACCCCGAGTCGTTACAACTTGACGGAGTCGACAAAAGGGCGCATCGACGGATGGGGAAAATATTTCATCGAACAAAATGCCAACTAAAGATGTGGAGCTTGTATCGCAATGCAAGCTGCGACCGTTCTGAACTGAGATGCCAAACAAATGGTTTCTACAAATTGAGGCCACCTTTCAGTCGTACAAGACCACATCTTATGTCCGGAAATATAATCGGGTCCTCTCAGCAATTAGCAGCGATGCTTTAAAGGAAGCTGCGGATGTTTTAAAAGCCGTACCAGCTCAAGACCGATATATTAACCTCAAAAGTCAACTACTGTCACGTTTTACTGATTAAGCCGACCCACATAGGGTATTTGGCTGATTTTAGGCCTTTGGAGAATACACAAAGCCAATGTTTTTTGTCGAATTAATGATTTTAATTTTTAATTTAATTTTGTCAACGAAGAAGAATAAAGTAAATGTCAAAGAATTGTTCAGTGATTGCAAATCAGTTTTGGAATAGGGAATGAGGTAGTTTAGTTTTTTTAAAGGCGGTAAAATGTAGTTTTTTCAAGAGGGAAACACCGATTTTGCTAAGGGAGCCAAGATGGCAGATTAGAGCGAGAACGCTGTCAATATCCAACACCTTGTATTATTCCACCATGAAGGCTTCTAAATATTTATTTGAGCTTTTAAAGTTTACGACATACACAATAATGCGACAGTATACAACACCTTGCGTTTCTACCAAAAAAATTCGCATTTTTCAGGAGACACGATTCATATTTTCTATTTACTCTCAAAAACGGGTGAAAATATATGCATGTACATACATACAAATCTGTGGACTTTTGACAAAACCACTTCTCACGAGTGAGGTCATTTTCTGTTCATAGCAGTAATTCATTGAGTTCTCGAATGTTATCTTTATGCTTACTCATTAAGTCCAAGATGATATCGTCGCTGGAATAGAGAAACAGTGTAAATGCCATATACACTATTTATTATACGATAATCGTACCATTGGATAGACAATCCTTTAATCTATTAGAAAAATCATTAGTTTTCTTAAATATCTTTTTGGATAACGAACTTATTCGCGAAAAACGAAATTTTATAATAATTTTATAATAATTATTAAGAAAATCCCAAAGAAATTCTTCTTACATTAAAATAACGTTAGAGTATTTTACTTCGTTATATTGCTGCTAACTTTCACATGCAGCTTCAAAATATGAATAATCAAATAGTGTAATAACCATCGACATACATCAATTAATTTTTCTGAGTTTGCAGCCAATATAAAATTGTGTACAATGATTTCATATAAAAATGTTCAAAGATAAAATAGTGTATCCAGCAGATGCTTTCAGAAAAATGGGCTCAAATGGCATTTCTAAGTAAACATGGTACAGCAATTGTTGGTGAATTAGCAGCCAAGGAATCAATAAAAAGTGTGGTGTATTTAAAATAAGAATATTTTGAATAAGGAGCGCACAATTAAAGTTTAGATTTGGTCGATTGGATTATAAAAACATCTAATTCGTTTTTCTCAAAACTATACTTTTCATGTTACACTACTTCATTATTCCAGCGACGATATCTAAATGAAAGTTAAATAAAAATCTTAAATTTTTAATATAAGGATAACATTACATTCCAAATGTTTAAAGCGTTTTTTCTCGAATTTAGGTTTTTCGACTTAGGCGGTTATTGCTTATGACTACATATTTGATTCCAATGAACGATTGATTGGCGCTTAAACGCTTTCTACGCGTTTAGCCGAGCTTCTCTTCCAGGTCGTCTTCTGCTTTTTAATAGCAGAAGTACACTCGCAGTCTTGCCATTGTCTGCCTAGGGGCGACATCTGCTTGAAAAAACTTCTGTTGTTACTGGGTCAAGAAATTGAACCAGGGATCTCCTGAGTGACAGTAGGCATCTCTAAGCACTCGGCTACCGGGTTTTTCAAATTACAATTTTTCGAATAACTCGAAAATCGGGTTTGGGAAAAAAGCGAATAATCGAATACCCTAACATGTACATATGTATTTGCACTCCGTCTCATACGCGGAAACTATTACTTACATATGATTTTAGCCAGAATTTACACAAAATGAAACATAAAACGAGTACTTGTGCATAATTTTTTCAAAATGTTTTTAGAGTTGTGACGGTCTTTTAGTACATAAATGAGCGATATGTGAATTAGTTTCACAGGTAAATATTAATTTTTGTACATTGCACATACATATGTACATAAATATGAATCTGTGTTAATATTGTCACACAAAATAAAATGTTTATACAGAATTGTGAATCTACGTAAAGGTGTAATATCGAGCCCTAACCGCCAAAATAACGTAAGCGACATTTTTTTCAAAATTTTCTTTTTGATGCAGAAAGGCGAAATTTTTTTCAAAATTTTCTTTTTAATGCAGAAAGGCATCTAGATGCTCTAGGAATATTTCTGCATAAAAAAAAAATTTTTGGAAAAAATGTCGCTTACGTTATTTTGGCGGTTAGGGCTCGATATGTTCCGCATTAAAATTAGAATTTCAAGGGTTAACAATCTCATATACGTTTAAGGTTTAATTAATTGAAATTCGAAAAGTTTAATGCTTCAAAAAAAAAAAACTAGAGAAAGCTCAATTACTTCCACCCTCAACCAAATTCATCGTAGTTATATTTGTTCTCATGAGCTGTTCGGTGCAGCTGTTCAGGGTGGCATCCGCGCTACTTGCTTAGCTTTTGGCCAGCAGGCCAGTAACAGCGGACTTTAGGCCCAATACATTAGTTTGGGCGATATTCCCCAAGAATTACCATGACGTCTCTGATAGCCATAAAGATTTTTGGTAACATTCGAGAGATGTGAGTTCTAGTTGTCCCTTTGTCCCGAGTTACCCTACCCCTAGATACTTCGCATCTTCTGAGAACTCAACTTCTGCCCTTGTCTTGACAAGCTGACTTTCCTTCCGTTTTGTAAAGGAACAATGGTGAACTTCAATGGGTTTATTGACAGTCTCATTTCATACGCTAGTCTTCATTTAATTTTAGGGTAGCTTGCAATCAGCAAATAGTATTACCTTCCAGCCAAGCCTAGTTTCGCTATGCTTATGATTTAACCAGTTAGAATGCTAGGAATATCTTTTCTTATCATACCGCAAAAGACGGGCAGAAAAAAATTATTAAAAATCAGCGTGAATTCTTAGCTGCCTTTTTTCTGGAATTCTATGTTTTATAAAAATGAAACCACAAAAGCTTTCTAAAAATTCAGATACAATTTGTTGAATTTTTCAAAATTTTGTATGAAGTTTGAAACTTTGATTTATATGGTTTTGGTTAGCGCATGGAAAATTTTGGGGCACCGAAATTGCGCATATGGAAACTGTGCATTTAGACATTGTTTCGGTTTCAACCGAAACTGTGCATGTAGGCTTTATTTCGGTTTTTTTTCATATGGATTATTTCTGTGTTCGTATGGAAAAGTAGCTTATGTCTAAAGGCTGGCTTTAGTATAAATCGGCATTCGCAGCATATGATTGTGAATAACTCACTGGCGCTGAACCGTTGAACAACTTTTGGCAAATAAACGTGCAAGAAATAGTTCCGATACTAGCAAGTCAAATTCTTACCAAGTTTCATCAAAAAATTCCTTGCAGTTTAAAGAATAAAGGGAATGCCGCATTATACTAAAGCCAGCCTTTCGACATAAGCTACTTTTCCATACGAACACAGATTTGTATGCACAGTTTCCATATGCACAATTTCAGGGTGCCAAAATTTTTTTTAGAAAAATTACCAAAAAATGTTAACTTGAAAAGCATGTGAACACGTTGAGTCACTGTATTGACATGCATACTTATCGGCAACATACATATGTAACTGCAAAAGCCCCTATGACAATTTTTCGGATATACCTTTTTTACGTACATAGTTTTCTCTATGGCACACGTCCATCCAAAATTATAAATTTATGTACGTAAAAGGTAAATGGTCCTTTGCAATAACGTCACAATTCAAAACTAAAAACCCTTACTATTGTAAAGTGACTCATGTCTCTAATCCTCGTTGGATCCATGTCCAATCCTTACTGGTTTTCTTGCTTCTCCTATAAAATTTAAAAATTGTCAAATGTGCGTTGATTCCGACAGTAAATTTAAAGTTGCAAATCATATACAAATAAAAATATAATAATACATTATATACCCTGAAAACCATTTTTTAAAGAATTCGTAAAGATCTCATTATATTTTTTTGCAGAATTTTCTAAAATTAAATAAACTGTGCACACTTCGATTCTTTTACGAAAATTTCGGAAGAAAATCGGTAAAGCAATGAAAATAATGCTGCTATGTGAAGAATTTATTGTCAACCCCTTCATATAATTTCCTTTGAAGATTCGTAAACAAA